TATGGGAAAGGCTGATACACCTCTGGGTCATGGAGACTGCCCTCCATTATTTAAGGCAAGGAGTACACAATCACCAATCACAATGGAAGCTGCAGCAAAGAGGTTTCACTTCCAGAGGACCACAGAGAAAACTCAGAGATAAACATCACAATACAGGAGAAAGATGAAAAAAATCCTGTTTTTTCTGAGTCCATAACATGTTGGTTTGTTTCAGTATCAGCCTAGGCTTCTGTTGCTTCCCTGAAACATACAAAGGTGGCTAGCTCTGTGAGTCTGAGGTCAGGCAGAAGGTAGAGAGACTAACAGGTTCAGAGAGGCATGAACTTTCATAGAAAACCCGCTTCGTCAGTTGCTTTGCCGCCCTGCCCTACCTTCTGCCTGAAACAATTAAAGGTTCTGCTCTCTGAAAACCCTTGTTTTTATGGGACTGACTGCTAATGTCACTGGAATCAACTCCTTCCGCTCCCATCCTTGAGTCAGGATACCATCGTGGAAAGTATCCCACGATGTTCTCATGAGAAAATTAGAAGATTGTGGACTTAACTTTGAGACAGTCAGGTGGGTAGGAAGCTGGCTGTGGGGTAGGACCCAGAGAGTTCTACTGAGCGGATCTGTGTTGTCTTGGCAAGAAGTGGCCAGTGGTGTCCCTCAGGGGTCGGTGCTTGGTCCAGTGCTTCTTCATCAATGATTTGGATATGGGGGTGAAGAGCTTACTGGCCAAGCCTGCAAATGACACCAAGTTATGGAGAAGCGTGATCCTGCTTGAAGATAGGCTGGAGATACAGGAGGACCTAGACAGGCTGGCAAGTTGGGTGAATTGGATTAAACCAGATGAGGTCTAAAATCGAGAAATGTAAAGTGCTCCACTTGGGAACAAACAATCCCCTGCACACCTACAGGCTTGGCAATGCCAGCCTGACCAGCACTGTGAATGAAAGAGACCTGGGGGCTAATAATTGACCACAGTGTGAAAATGAGTTGGCAGTGTGACACTGTAGCCAACAGGGCAAATAATACTCTGGTGTGCATCAATCAATGCATCTCCAGCAAAACCAAGGAAGTGATTCTTCCACTCTACTTGGCATTGGTGTATTATTTGCCAATACACCAATACATTATAATGACTCCAAGATCCTTTTCTGCCTCTGTGCTGATGAGAGGGGAGTTCCCCAGCCTGTAGGTATGGTGCTGGTTCTTTCTCCCTAGGTGCAATACCCTGCAGTTGTCAGTATTGAATCCCATCTCATTCTCATCCACCCACTCCTGTAACCTGTCCAGATGCAATTGCAGCCTGTTCTTCCCTTCTAGCATGCCCACTTTTCCTCACATCTTAGTGTCATCCGCGAATTTGAACAAGGTGCTTTTCACCCCCTCGTCCAGGTCAAAAATGATCTGTCCACCACCACTCTCTGGGTGCAGCCCTCCAGCCAATTGGCGACCTATCTGACTGTGTAGGCACTGACACCACAATCTCCTGAGTGATTGGGGGTGCACCAATAAAGATTTTTTGGGCCAATACCAATGGCCAATTATTAACGAGCCATATCAGCAGATACTGATCCGATTGCTAATATGCAGCCCAGCAGCTTGGAGAGCAGCATCTGACTGGTATGTCTGTTGGAGGGGAAGGGGTGGGAGGAAAATCAAGGCCCTCATGGTGACGAAGGAGTGGGGCTGGGGCTGGAGCAGGCACTGCCCAGCTGGGGCAGGGCATGAAATGGAGTTGTGAGCAGCTCCTCCAGGGGGCATGGGGGGGGGGGATCCCACTACTACATGCACCCCTGGGGGAGCCATGGAGTGGCATGTGCCCCCCAGATCTGTGTGTAGTGTGAGGACAGGCTGTCATTGTGGGCTGGGGGCAGCACTGGGCTGAGGTAGGGCTGCACTTGGATTGCACTGGGGTGTGGGAGGCTATGAGGTGGGCTGCAGCCACCGCAAAGTTCACTGTAGTCCCCCCTCACAGTGCCACCGCCGCCTACTCTAAGCACAACCCTGGCCCAGCCCCTCTGCCAGGAAGAGCCTGGCACTGCCCCTGACCCCAGTCCATAATGGTAGCCTGTCCTTGCCCTGCACACAGATCAGGGGACACAGATCCAGGGGGCACCCCCCATTGCTCCCCTGGGGGTGTGTGTAGCAGTGGGATCCAACCCCCCTCCTCGCACCCCCCCTCCGGATGAGCCACTCGCAGCTCCATCCTGTGCCTACCCCAGCCCTAGCCCCACTCCCTCCTTCACTGCAGGAACCTCAATATGCCCCCTGCCTCTTCCCTCCCCCCTGCCCCTTCTTCCCTAACACATTTACCAGCCAGATGATTCTCTGCAAGCTGCCGGGCTGGCTGTGTGCATGCTGCAGCTGTGGACATGCACACGGCATTTATCAGAGACATTACCTGATTGCCGATGATGTCAATTTTCCTTTTATTGGTGCCAATACAATATGGAACAATGTATCCATGCACCTCTATTAATGATAAAGGACAAAAAACTCCCTCCAAAACTGCTGTCCCAGGGCTAGACAGTCTGAGCCAGAGTGATAATATGAATTGGACTATTACACGAGTTCAAGACTCTATGACAGAGACCTTAACCTTGTGAAACTACTGTCTCAGTACTGATATACGTAGGATAAAAGCAAATTCCTCAGGAAAAGTAGTTCCAGTGTCCAGCTTTCTGTGACACAGCCAAATCTTTTGGAAAGCATCCTTTTCTATTCTTTATTATGTTACATGTTTCCTCTCCTAACATCTTGAAGATTAGTTTAGAGAGTGTTAGGTATTATAGGTATTTAGCTGTCTAAAACTGCATCTCTGACATTTGTACATAAGTAGTGTGCAAGCACAAAACATACTCTCATCTGAGCAAAATGGCATTTTTCAGCACAGAACTAGGAAAGTTCTCTTTTTATGTGCAATCTAAGTTGTGCAGGGTTGGGGAGACATATGGAATTTTCACTCAATTTAGTTGACCAGTTTTTACAATCTGGTTCCTAATAATCACCCATTTATAGTTCCCAGGATCCCCTTTGAAAAACAGAGAAACTCATCATTAAGAAAAGCAGTGTCTAGATTATAGTGTCTTTCCCTGGCTTGTTTTGTTTATGGAGCATAGGACAGTTGGTAGAACAATCACATCAGTAAACAGGACTTTCAGCACAAGCCAAGTGCTGCATCTCAAATACCAGAAGAAGAAGTAGCACTTTATGAGGGTTGTTAAAAGTTTGGGATCAGCTGGGAGGGCAATCTAGATTTCAATGCTAATTGCATGCCTTCTGATTTATCACACAAGATTCAACTCCTAGCATTTTGTGTTTGCTTTAAAATGCTGGCATAGCTAGAAGTTGAAAAAAAAAGATGCTGTAACAATCTCATTGTTTAGTGTCTGACGGCCTGACTAGCTAAACATCTGTTTGAAATATTAATAACTGTCAGATGGGAACAGCTCGGGGCTCTATACAGTTTCACACCATCTGTTTATAGAGTAAGCACACTTACACACACACACTGAGCCATTTTGTCATAGCTTTTCTCCTCTAGATCTGCATGTGCATCTGTGTGTACTGAGGGGGCATGTCTGTCTGGAAATGTGGGGGGATTGATGCCCTCAGAGTCAATGAAGGAGAGCTCAACACATATGAGGGGATGAAACCATAAATCTTTAACAATATCTATACAAGTGCACCCATCAGCCAGCAGCATCTTATGACTATCACCAGTAAAGTTATTCTTTTACTAAATGACTATCAGCCTCAACTGAAGGATGGGTTTTGATATCTGCTTTGTTGCTTTATTCCAGTGGTGCTCAAGCTTTTGGCCTTGTGGGCCAGACGAGTGGTGCAGGGCCAGACTGCAAGCTGGTCTGGGCTTCATCTGGATCAGACACCACGCTGCCTCCATATGCCCCTGCACACACCTGGATCAGGCCCTGTACCCCCTCTGCACTGTCCTGTGTACCCAGTTCAGCTCACAGGACCATATTATCTGGCCGGGGGGGCAGGGAGGGGAGGCACCCCACTGGTCTGGAAATATTGTGGCAGGGGAGGGGTGACACACTCCCCCAAGCGCTAAAGTTTCAGACCTATAGGGGCTGGATCTGGCCTGTGGGCTGGGCGGTTGAGTGCCCCTGCTTTATTCTGTTCTGCTACAGCTTCATGGAATCTAGGAAATGGATCTTCTGGTCTTTCAAATGTTGTCCTTGTTCCTTTGGCATAATGAAGAAAGACCCCAGCTATCTACCTTTTTGGGTAGCTCTCTGTTGTGCAGCAGCTCTACCCAAGAGGACATCTGAAATGTGACTTGTTTGGGAAACAGCTTTTGTTAGCTAATTCTATCCTGAAGCCCAACTCATTAGTAACTCTTCCTGTTTGTCTAAGGCTGGCACTTCACACTGGGGAGTACAAGCCAATGCAGGTGTTAGTGCATGGACAGAGGGAAGATGGCTTACAGCCCATACCTCCTCTCCTAAGTGAAAACCAGGGCATTCTGCTTGGCTCAACAGACCCCTATAAGGGTTTGTAAGAGCACAGAATTGCATATCTAACCCTCAACAGTGCCCCCTCTGCCAGGTCTTTATATGCTTGCTCCCTCACCAGCCACCCTACCCTGAGCTTGCCTCAAGCCTGGAGACTTTACAGAGCACTGAGCTGGAAAGCTATTTGCCAGCACAGAATGTATTCCTGGACTGTGTTGCCTTCGTGCCAGCCTCACACAAGGCAAGTAAAGGGTGATAGGGGAGGGCCTAGTATATTTGATCACAGTTTTTCAAACAGTCTGCTTGAATATGAGGCCCACAAAGGGGATAATCAGTTCCTAGGAGCAGCCAGATAGCAGTGTCCAAACCCCAAGACATGACTAGTCAGTGACCAGTCAGTTTGTTCTGCAATATATTTGGCTTTTGTTTTCCTTGGTGAAACATTCTGTAGGGTCAATGAGCTTCAGCTTTAATAGAGGAGTATAATAAAACACTTAAAGCAACATTAGAACATTCAAAGATATCACTACTTACGTGGACTGTCAAGACTGTGGTTCCCACGGTGACATTCTCAAACAGACTAACATTATATAGGACTTGGCTAAAAACGGGGCGGTTGTCATTCTCATTGATGAGGTTAATCTTCACTCGTGCAAAGCCAACATGATCTGGCACGCTCTCGTTAGCAAACAGCTGAGCAGAAACAGGAGGCAAACATCAGAATTGGAGGCTTCATTTGTGCAGCATTTTTTTTTAAATGGGAAAAGCATCAACTCTCTCATGATCTCCTTTGGTGCACTGTTACTGCAGCAATGTGCCTCTAGCTGGCAGGCCATGAACCCATACTGGAACCAACTCAGCGCTGAACCCAATGATAGAAGCACTCAAAAAAAAGAGTTCCCATCTTCCCAGGGAATTGTGCCAGTTTACCAGACTGCAAGACCTCAGTTATACAGTAGGAGTAAAACATCCTCTCTCAGCCCTTTGTGGATTCTGACTAGCCACAAATACCAAACTTCCTTCTGGCAATCCTCAAACTATGAGCTCTACTGCTGGCTGGAGTGTGTGCTACTGAGTGGAAACCAGGGAGCAATAGTATATTGGGACTAATAATCAGGGGTTCAGAATAATCAGTCCAATACAATAGTACAGTACTGGCATGAATATAGATAGGTTCCTTCAAACATCTATTCAATGAGCACTATAGCACTTCTACTGCCTCTAACTCATTTTTACCTTTTAGGAGGTAGACAGAGCATGACATATTTAAGCTTCAAGCCCTCAGAGGTCATAGCTTTAGGAGCTGCCACCATTTCTACATCTAACTGGCCAGCTGAACAGGATTTAGATCAAGTGCTGGATTTTGTTTTACACCACACACTGCTTGGGGAAGGCAGGGTTTTATTTATGCTTCTTCACCAGTGTATAAAAGCCCTTCTCTGCCAGGGCTAATAGCAACAAGAGTTGCTGGCATGATTATGGAGCTGTTTTGCCTTCCAGAATTTACAGCTTACTCAGAGAGCAGGATAAAGCTCGAGCAGGCAGTTGGAAAGAGTGTTGCTGCTTGATAGGTACATTTAAAACAAAGTTTTATGCTCTATAAAGCTTTTATTGCCCCACAATGTGGGGGGGAGGGCACGACATGTTCTGTGAGCTCTTGCAGCTGAGGCTCTAAATTTTGGAAGACAAAAGGAAGCTCAGAGCAAATATCTTTTATTTTCTTTAATTTTTTTGGCTAAATCCTAGTGCTTTCAAGTCCAGCAACACTGACTAGAGGCAAGAAATAGAGTGAGCTGACATTAAACAAGCTGGCCATCAGCACTCTGTACCAGTACACTCCATTTCTGACCTTTAGTAAGTCTTACAGTCCAATCCCAGACCCCTTACCCACAGCTCTGCCACTCCACTTCTGTGCAGGTTATTTTTATGTCAACCAATGTCCATTGCCAATGAGAAGGCTGAAACCATTAAAATCATGTCACAGATAGTGGTGCTTTGAGTAGTCTCCCTAGAGGTGACTAGCTAAAGTAGTGGTATGGACCATAAAGACTGAAGGCCAGGCCACGCTTAAAGGTTTCTTGTCTCTCACCCACTACCCTCTATACAAAATGCCACTTGCTGGTGAACTTTTATTCCTCCCTGATAGGTGACATAAGTAAATCATCTCTCATGATGAAATGAGCTTGAGACAAAGGAGCCAATGCATTAAGGGTCAGATTAAGGTATTTTGGAACCTAAATCCTATCGAAACCAATGGGAGTTAAATACCTAGAAATCTTTAAAAATCTGGACCTAACGTACTATGTATTCAGTCCCTGGTCCTTCCATCTCCAGGCCCTTTATACCCCCACCCATGCACGTCACATTTGTGAGACATCTTACAGAAAATTCATAGCGAGGAATGGTCTCATAGTCCAGTGGCACTGCAACCCGAACACGAATGTCTGCCTTTCCCTGGATCGAGGTCGGGGAGATGATGAAGTGATTGGAGTTGTTACCAACAAGGTAAACCTCAAAAACACTGTTGGGTCCCTGAGAAAGCAAAGAGAAGCATTAACAATGACAAATGCACAAGGCAAGCTGAACCACCAGCTGAATAGGGGGATATTCTGCCTAGGCTAAGTACAGGACTAATCTCCTTAGTGGTAAAACCAACAATACAGAGAAAGAGACAGTAAATGTAGTCAACAAACATTTAGATATTCTGTGCCTGTACAGTTCCCAGCCCAATGGCTCCTTGATCTGTGACTGGGGTTTTTAGACATTTCAATATTCTGAATAGTAATGATATTTGACCACTTTCATTGTATATATGCATGGCATGAAGTATAGGTTTGACCAGTGTACACTTGCCCATATTGCAGAATACATAAAGGAAAGGAAGGAAGCTTGCTATAAAGACACAGGGCAATTTTACATGCAGGTGCCACACTATGGAAAGCACAGCACCCGTGCTTCCCACAGATGTTCCACGTGTAGCTGGAGACGTGCTCACTGTTAAGGAATGCTACCATTATCCACTGCTTAGCCCCTATGTTTACAGACCAAGCCCTGTACAGTACATACCATGCCAGTGTGGCTCTGCATTACCAGTCCTATCTTGTCACATGAAGATAGGTGGTAGCCTATCAATGAAAACAGTGTCCTCACAGCAAATGTCCAGAAGGTGCCTGGTGTGCTGCTTGTGGACTGGTTTATATTATTATAATGCTGGGCTCAAGCAAAACCTATGTACAGTATTTCTAAGCATGCCACCACAAGTCAAGTACACAGATGGTCTGTGTCCAACAAACAGCCTGCATACTGAAACTGTAGATGGTATCTGCTGAGTTGTCACCCTACACATATCCAGCGCTCAGCTTTTAAACTAAAGCAATCCACTCCACAGCCTGCCCAACACTGACATATCCCTCAACCTCCAGAAGCCCAACTACTAATTTTAAACAATTCTGAGAGACAAAGATGTGCTTTTCTACAGCACACCTTAAACCAGAGACCCAAATGCTCCTCTTCTCACCCAAGTATTTTCTGTAGCAAGAAGAGGCCTCCTCCCAAATGCTGACAAGAGACAGTTTAGGACCTTCATACCAAGAGTCAAGCTCCTTCCCAAAATGCGGCCCAGCCGAGCACATTAAAATAAAGTTCAGAAACTGCCAGAGCCGAATTTCCAATTTTCCTCTGAATGGACTCCATCCTGTTAGAAGGAGGGACCAATTAAATGCACGAAGGGGCACTAATAGCAAAACCTGCCTGAGCGTGACAGCTGAGAGCAAGTGACACAGCCAGAGAATCCCCTCTCTCTTTCCCCCTCCCACCCACCAAAGAAAACAACAAAGGCCCCACCATGTTGCAAAGGGAGGGAGAGCTATACGTTCCTGACATATAGGACCAGAGGAGTATGTGGCACTTTACACAAATTAAGAAGCCAGTACTCTAAATGACACAAACCAATCAGATTGTGCCAAACGATTAGGAGTGAACATAGCAATAAAGACAACAAAGGGTCCCTGGTCTTGGGAAGCTCTGGTTACAAGTTACAAGCAGTCCTCCACTTACGACTTTCTGAGTTATGACAAACGGCACTTAACGACATTTGTAAACTGACACCGTTTCGAGGTTCCCACACCAGTTCCACCTTTATGGCAGTCAATACAGCTGTGTCCAGCTGGTAAATCTGTTGTGGTGGGGGGAGGGGGGAGGGAAGATCAATGCCCCTACAAGGGAGGG